GGCATGTAACAACAGTATGCTGTTTTTTGGCTACGAGAGTTTTATCATCTTTAAAGCAGGCGATAATTGCTAGCATTTTATTTTCCCAAACAGCTTTAAATGTGGCTCATCCAATCCGATTTTCGATATAGAAATATTTTAGGGTACATTTACACAACAATGAAACACAAATTGCGGTTTTTCGGGTACAGACGAGCATGTTGTCAAAACAATCCACATTCACACGGATCCGTGAAAACTAAAAACGCCGTATTCTGCTGTCAGGCCAGTAGATGGCGATGTACTTTGTGAAGAAACACCGAACACGTAACACACATGTGCATGACGTCGCTGTTTTCACATATGTACACGGAGACAATTTTAGGGTTGCACTTTGAAACACGTTTTTAAAAGTTTTTTTTTTTCAGGCCCCAAAATGGCGTTGTCGTGTAAATGAACGGCTAAAACGCATAAAATGTTTTCAGTTTTTAATTTAAAACAGTGACCCCTAATAACGCTCTTCTGCCAAAACATAACAGCATTGTTATTTTAGTATCTGTGTTAGTTTTATTAATATTATTATTTTTTTATTTTTAGTTTTCATGTTAATTTTAGTTACATTTTTTACTTTTCGATCTCTTTATGAACTTTTGAAGCATGAAGTGGTAGTTGTGTAGCTGTCAATGGAGGGACAGGTTCATTTAATTAAAAATACGTTAATTTGTGTTCTGAAGATGAACGAATGTCTTACGGGTTTGGAACGACATGAGGGAGAGTAATTACTGACAGGATTTTCATTTTTGGGTGAACTATCCCTTTAAGTTCTTTTAACTAATATGAGCTTTTCGATTTCTTTAATAGCTTCAGTTAACCATAATAACCCTGCATCACTGAGGTCAACATCGCTGTTCAAGTTCGATAACATTTTTAGGGATGCACCGATATGAATATTTTGGCTGATACCAATAACCGATAATTTTTTTATATCTGAAAGCCGATAACCGATATATTGGCCGATAAATCTAAATCCAATTTTTATATAATTTTTGAGAGCCTGATTACAAAAACAAAAGTCTCACCATTAAAAGCAACATCCCAAACACAATTATAATGTTCTCATGATAATTGTATGTAGCCGATATGACAGACTTGCGCTGCACATTGAACTGTATTTTCCTTTTTTGAAGTGATTTCAATCATATTTCAAGCAATTCAAAACTATGTTGAACAGTGCGCATCTGAAGCGTCTCAGCTGAAGGAAATATTCCATTATTTATCGGCTTTAATATATCGGCTAAATTTTCAGGCCGATAACGATAACATTAAAAATGAACATATATCGGCCGATACCGATATTATGGTAGCCGATATATCATGCATCCCTAATATAAACATACAAGTGAAACTCGAAAAATTTTAATATCGTGCAAAAGTTATAATTTTGATGATTATGGCGTACAGCTTATGAAAACCCCAAATTCAAAATCTCAGAAAATTAGAATATTACATGAAATCAATAAAAAAAAAAGGATTTTAAATACAGAAATGTCGGCCCTCTGAAAAGTATAATCATGCATATGTATATAGAACATATACTAAATATATTAGTTTCACCTTTTAATTTGAATTACTGAAATACATGAACTTTTGCACGATATTCAAATTTTTGGGGTTTCACCTGTATATTAATATTTCAGCTTTTCAGATATTAGCAGACCATAGTTACTCCTGCATCACAGGAGGTCAACATCGCTATCAAGTTTGATCAAACTTTCATGCACTAGTTTACAAAACCCAAGCGCTCGTTCACCATGGCCTGCAGACTGCCGTGTGTGTGCAGCGCTCCTTTGGGTCGTCCCGTGGTGCCGCTGGTGTAGATGAGCATCGCTGGTCTCTCAGCCCAATCCGAGACGTCCTCGGGCAACATCTGTGTGTCCTCAAACTGAAGAGCATCTAAAGTGGTGGGAATCTGTAGGCAGGGCAGCCCTAGTTTCTGGGCCAAGGGCTCGAGGGTATCAATAAAAGGTTCTCCGGCGACCAACAGCGAGCTTTGGGAGTCTAAAATGACATATTCCAGCTCATTTAGAGGATGTTTTCTGTATAGGGGAACTGATATGCCACCACACATCCATGACGCCCACTGAGCCACGGTGTAAGATGCGTCGTTGGCACACAGAAATGAGATTCGCTCGCCCTTCAGGTCTCCTGATTGACAGGCGAGAGCTTTGGTAATGAGTCCCGCCAGGCTTTTGCTGTTTTTGTAGAGGGAGCTGTAGGTGTGGCTCCCGCTGTGATCCATAATGGCCACATTGTCTCCATACGCAGACACTCTGGAGAAAACAGGAGCGATTCTCCCGAGAGCTGGAGAGGGTTTGTGGATGGCTCTCTGATGCACTACATTTCCCAGAAGCCACTTCAGGGCTCTTCTGCCAGCTTTACAGTGAGAGCAGCTCCAGAAAGACATCATAGCGTTTCATCCGTCTAAACTTGGGACAATCAAATGAAAGAAAAGCACATTTTAAAGGGATAGTTCACCCAAAAATGAGAATTACTGTCATTATTACTCTCCCTCATGTCGTTCCAAACCTGTACGACTTTCATTCATATACATTTGCTGATATAAAAGTAGATTGATCTTTACCATATTTATGGAAGGGCCAGTAAAAATGCTGACAGGAAAAGTAAGAATCTTTAATGTTAAATCCTGTGTTGTCAGTAATGTCTATTATGTGGCTATTTTTAATCATTGTTTTCGTTTATATGGACTGTGTATTAAAGGGAAAATAAATTTTTTTTAAAAAGCAAATTTTAAAAGGAGAGTTTACCCAAAAAGTAGCCCTCATGTTGTTTCAAACCTGTAAGACTTCCGCTCATCTTCGGAACACAAATTAATATATTTTTGATGTAATCCGAGAGCTTTCTGTCCCTCCATTGACAGTCTACGCAACTACCGTACTTGACGCTTCAAAAATGTCATAAAGAGATTGTAAAACTAATCCATATGAATTGAGAGGTTTAGTCCAAATTTTCTTAAATATACTCGATCGCTTTATATGATAAACAGATTTAAATTATGCTTTTTTTTCACACTTGATCTTTTTTTCCCTCAACATTTCTTATTTGTATTTTTAAAAAAATATTAAAAACAATATCATAACATTAATTAATGCACTAGTGTAAATTATTTAATTTGATTGGTAACAGCCCCATAGTGTCTTATTATTCGAATTTATTTGTTGATCAAATTTAAGAATTTAAAATGAAAGATGAAGCATAAATTGAATAAGATTAGACCGGGGGGAAAATGTTGAGCCCTAATGTGTGAGATCGGTTGATGAATGTTTATATGTGAATAAAAGCCTTAATTAAATCTATTCATCATATAAAAAGCAAAAGGAAATTTGGACTAAACCTCTCAATACATATGGATTAGTTTTACGATCTCTTTATGAACTTTTTAAAGCCTTCAAGAACGAAACGATGAATGAAAGTCTTAGGGATTAGAACGACATGAGGGTGAGTAAATAATGACAGAATTTACATTTTTGTGTGAACTATTCCTTTAATATAAGTCCATATTAATGAAAACAATTATTAAAAATAGCCAAATAATAGGCTCACAACACAGGATTTAACATGAAAGATTCTTACTTTTACTGTCAGCATTTTCACTGGCCCTTACATAAATATGATCAAAATTATCAAACTATTTTTATGTAAGAAATGTTTTATTTTGATGATCTACTTTAGACATTCTACTCACTTATCAACTACATGAGAAGTTATTAGAGTATTAGTAGACTGATTAATATCTGCTAACACTTTATTTTGACGATCCACTTTAGACATTTATTAACTACAAGTAACTTTACAAATACATGTCAACTAGCAGTCATTATAGTATTAGACTTTTAGGGTTCGTGTTAATAGAATAAGTTGACATTCAAGTTCAAAAGTTACTTATAGTCAGTATATTGTCTAAAGTGGACTATCGAAATAAAATGTAATCGCTCCTTTTTTATTATTAAAGATAACTTTACCTTTATTATTCATTCGTTCAGTCATTATCTTTCACAAACAGCACTATGGACCCCAAGCATAATAAAAGTAACGTTAAATCTCAAAACAACAGTGGTGCCATAAAACATATAATTCCGCATTTCTTAGGCTTCTAAAGACTCGCTAATCGAAAGGTTATTCTTTATAATGTTTTCTGATGTCGCTACGCATAAAATCATAACATAACTATAATACTTTCCTCAAACATACATGCAGAATGATGCGTTTCTTACCTAAAGTCATACTGAAGACGGTGCGCCGTATAAATGAATCCGTGTGGAAATCGAAGCGAAGCGGAACCTTTATCTAAAGGACCTTGTCCTTGTGTCTTTTATTTTGCATTTTACAAGGCACAGTGCCACCCCAATATCTTTAGATTTTATTTTAGCTTTTAACTTGCGATTAAAAACAATGGGAAAGTGTTTTCATTAAAATGTTATGTTTGTTTTCATTAGAGACTTGAATGAAGATTACCTTGGTTTAGTGAAATGAATATAATCAGGTAGAAATTATTAGCATTTTTAGGCATGTTAGGAATGCTAAAAATATATATATACAATGAAATAACAACAATACAGTTTTTTAAAAAGTATGTTTTTCGCTGAAAAGTCAAATACGTAATACTCAGACATAAAATAAAAGGAACATCTATGAGACAGACAGACAGATGGACTAAAGCTGGTGAGTATTGACATCTAAGCTTGCATGTGTTTTGCCATCACACTGTTATCACCCAAGCTTCATCATGCCAACTGGTTTTGGCATCAGCTCACAGCACGGGCACACTTAGCCACCAGCTGGCAGTCGCGGGCCTCAAATAAGAATTGTTCAGACATGGCACTCATTCAAAAAGTTCTCACTTCCCTAAACCCCTCCGTGGTAAATAGGGATGGCATGTTCCTGCAAAACTGAAAGCTTTGTCTGAGAATCTCCCCTCCGGTTTGAGAAGTAGTATCGTCAACGAGCGATCCATTCACAATCACAGAAAGAGCTGGAAGCGAGGACACCCTCCTTAAGGCGTTAAACGCTCAACAGATCATTGATTCTGAACGCTTTGCTTTGTATTGCATGTGATGCAGACGTTTCGATGGAGCGCCCTTGTTTCGTGAGGATTTTCTTTTTTGGATGGAATCAGGCTTGGATCCCGGCATGTTCCTGGTACAAATTTTTGAAATTCCAGCTGCTCTTCAAACATATCAGATTGGATTGGATTGGAAAGAAGACCGAAAGCTGACCGAAGAACAGAAGACAACCCGGTGAGCGTATGTTTGACGCGCAGCTATACGATGGCTATCCGCCAGCCCTGTATCTTCTCGGTCGTGGTGTTAGCAACTAGCATGTCCGGCAGTGGGCGCCAACTCCGCATTGGGTTGGCCAAGGATTCGCTGAAAAATGTGGGAGATGAGATGAGAGAAGCCCCCTCTTTTCGGAAAGATTCAGAGAGTGAGTAGGGAACGAAAATCAAGGGGTGTTCCAAAAACATGTGTCAGGTTGGCACCAGATGAGAATGCCTTGGCAAGCGCCTCGCTCTCCCCCTCTTGCCCCTCTTTAAACACATGGCACGTTGACGGCAGCATCTGGCTGCGTTGACTCTCAGCAGCTGCGCTTTGTCTATGCCAGTTGGGATGCTTGGCACTGCCACTTCATCAACTACCTGTGGCTTCTCCTGGGCGTGAAGCGGGCGATGAATTATTTGGTGCTGCAGCTGCAAACTTGACTTCGTTCCAAGAGATACAGTTGTGTAAACACGTGCTAGACTCATGGCACACATAAACAAATGCTTTGCATACTTGGGCAACTTGCATACAGGAGGACAACTCTGCATCTGGGCTTAGTTTATTCAACATTGGGCGTCTGGTCTCTTGAGGAAGTTCACAACATTACTACATACAAACCTTTGTACTCTATTATACAAGGAAATACTGCTTTTTGCCCATTTTTTTCTGAACAAACCATGAAAGAGTGAGACGAAGCCTTTTTTTGTACTACTTGAAAAGCTTTGTGGAATTTATTGACTATATTATATGAAAAATACCCCCCTTTTCCTGGATTATTCCATGTGAGTTCCCCAGGGTTCGCTACTGGGTCCTATTATGTTCAATATTTATTCTATTGCTCTCCTTAATTGTAAGTCGCTTTAAGGATTAAATGTAAATATAACATTTGTTGAAATTGTTGAAGACTGTGCCAAGCTACCCTAATGCTGCTTTCCAGCTGTGCCAAAATGTGTGGTTTACAATGGACTGCTACCAAAAACACATCTGAGGAATTTGTTGACTATAATATATGAAAGAGACACCCTTTTCCTGGATTATTCCATGTGAGTTCCCCAGGGTTCACTACTGGGTCCTATTATGTTCCATGTTTATTCTGTAACACTTGTTGTATTAAATAAGAGATAATATGTCACGTTTCCCCAATGCTGCGATCCAGCTGTGCCAAAATGTGTGGTTTGCAATGGACTGCTACCAAAAACACATGTGAGGAATTTGTTGACTATAATATATGAAAAATACCCCCCTTTCCTGGGTTATTCCATGTGAGTTCCCCAGGGTTCGCTACTGGGTCCTATTATGTTCCATTTATTTATATTTACATTTATGTAAATATAAATGTAAATATAAACATTATGTTCCATTTAAATGTTATATTTACATTTAATCCTGCTACTTAAAACATGTCTGAGGAATTTGTTGACTACAATATATGAAAAATACCCCCCTTTCCTGGATTATTCCATGTGAGTTCCCCAGGGTTCGCTACTGGGTCCTATCATGTTCCATGTTTATTCTGTAACACTTGTTGTATTAAATAAGAGATAATGTGTCACGTTTCCCCAATGCTGCGATCCAGCTGTGCCAAAATGTGTGGTTTGCAATGGACTGCTACTTAAAACAGGTCTTCCCATGTTGGATTTCCTAGGATTTTCCTCAACTCCGTTGTTCAGACATATCAGCGCTCTAAAGCAGTTGCAAGCTTTCCTCATTTGGAAAGCATCATTCGCTCTCTCCAGGGGTAACTGTCATGTTCTTTAAATTTTGCAAAAGTTCATGACCTCCAGAGGATCTCTGACATCGCAGCCTTTTAATAAAACAACGAACTCTGCTCTATTCGAGAGGAACGGGGGGAGTACTTACATCAGAGTGGAGCCGCTAAGGCAACATCAAGCAGCAAAAACATGTCAAGCTTTGTTTTTTAAGTTAACTAGACATCCGTTGTGTTCTGAGGCCTGACATCCGCAGAGCCACGCGACCCAGATTGGATTGAATTTACAGGTTTTGTTTTTTAGTTTTGTAAATGGAGACAGATTATATCTGTCAGGATTCAAAGACAGCAGTTTTCTTTTTTGTTCAGCTTCTGGTGACCCACTGGGAGTTTGGCTCCATCTGTGCCAGCCTGACCCAGTTTAGCCCACGGCCACGTCCAACTGTTCAATGTCTCGAGCATATGTGCAGTTGCAGG